CCCCAAAACCCCAAAACCCCAAAACCCCAAAACCCCAGCTGAAGAAAACAAGTTGAAATTAGATGTTTAGGGAGAAAGAAGGCTGGGGCTAGATCAGCTTAGGGGGATTTTAGAACCGGAATTTGATTTTAACATTGTTCAGATTGTTTAGAGTGAAGATTTGTTGGGCTTCGGTGTTGCCAAGTCCCCAGGATCCGATGTTTATTTCTTGAAGAGATTTTGATAGATCTGGGGATGAGCCCAGTCCTTTGATTAGATTGATGAATTGATCAAGGTTGCTGTTCCAATCACTTTTGTGTCTATTTCCTGAGCCAATAAAGCTTAATGAGGTGATATTGGAGTTTTTCAAGGAGCTCGAGAAATCAAGAGGCTTTGGGATAGAGAGTTTACAAGAGTTTATATTTAAAGATTTCACATGTCTGAAAGAGGCAATCAACCTCTTTAGCTGATAGCTGTTGAACATAAAAGTGGCAAATCCAGCCTCCTTCAAGGCTAATGAGCTAAGACCTATGATTGACTTGAAATTCTTGGAATTGTTGATCTTCTCAGTATCCATTGAAACAGTCCAAACAGTGTTTACTTTATTCGAGAAAGAGTGCTTGAGAAAGTTGGAAATATGCTTGTTCTTAGATCTTATGTTGCACAAACGAATTTTGTGAGTATCAAAGAATTTGAGAGGATACAGTTCCTTAACATATTTAATATAGCAAGAAGTATCGAACCAAAAATAGAAATCAGACTTTTCAGGTTCATTTTTAGAACAACAATCTAATGGTTTGGTCTTTATTTCATCTGAAAAAATGCTAAAGTAGAGATCTCTTCATCTATTGTATTCATCTTCTTTGCTCTTTACTAAGATTGAGGTCTCGAGTCTATATTGTTGAAAGGTTTATAATATGTTTTACCACCTTAAAATTACAGCGTCCAGATACTCAAGATATAAGAGGTATTAAAAAGACTCTCTACACAGTAAATTTTAAGGCTTTTGCTGTAGACAGATAAGAGCTTGCTACTTTCTGAAAATAAGGTTATCCGAATGCCAGTTAAATGGTTTATATTTCTAAAAGAACCTTTTTAATATTGATAAAAATGAGAGCCTGATGACTAGAGCTTATTTTAAAAGGATCGAATATGATAGATGTAGAGCATTTATACTCTATTGTTAGATGAACTTCCAACAGACATCAACTTACTTGATAATCTTGGCAATCTTTGCTTCAGTGTTTCTAACAGAAGTTTCCATTTTATTATTATAAAAGAATTTCAAATATTTTGGGAGATGCTGGGGTTTTGGGGTTTTGGGGTTTTGGGGTTTTGGGGTTTTGGGG